TTGCTGCCTTTAATACAGAGGCAGCAGTGGGGGAAGTGAGTAGTCAAGTACTCCCTCAGCTACCCAATAAGCTTATGTTTATCCAATAATCAACTATTTGACTAGTTGCTTACATCCCTACTCTCCATCCCTGCTGCCCACTTACTTACAGAAGTAGCTTCCATTTAGTACTTCAGGTTTTCCACTCAAGTCTGTGGGATGGGGACAATGGAGAGACCTACCATCTAGAGGGTTCATTTGCTGAACATGTGATTTTTACTAGTACATTGATCAATTCCAACATTTAAGGGAATGTTTTAGGACTAGGTAATGGGCAGAACTATGTTGATTTGAGTGAAAAATCAGAACCAAAAATGGGTGAAGTGGGGGGGACATGAAGCTACTGCCATGTTTAATACAGCCACAGCTCTATGCAACTCTGCAATGTCTGTAGACCAAATACCTTGTAGCATAACCATATCAACTCTGCCTACCACCCCAAGAGTATCATGAAGATACTGGAATAATGTCTCCTGCAAACTGAATGGGGAGATGCCTACTATGAGGAAAATAGGGATGTTAGCATAGTCATTTAAATGATTAACTAAGGAGCCCAGGCTCATCAGTTAATCCAAATGACTACATACAGATAAGTAGAGAGAGTGAGTGAGTGTATTTTTAAACTGTCTCCCCTCATGGACTAGCTCCTTCCTACCACCTCTGATACAGAGGCAGCAGCATGGGATGGCAGAGGGCTCCCCAGGAGTGAGGCTGGGAACCAGAAGCACATTGGCTGTTCACACCCCAAGCAGGGAGTAGGGTTACCAGGTGTCAATATTCACCTGGACAGTCTGGTATTTTTGGCTCCTGTCCAGTAAAAAAAATTGAGAATATCAGACACCTGAGCTGTCCAGTATTCTTTGAATTTTTCCCTGGCCAGGAGGAGAAAGTGCCGGGCACCTGGCAACCCTACAAACACTCAGCACCGGGCCTCCCCTCCCCTCAAGCCCCCAGCCCCTATGCTTACCTGGTTCCCCAAGGCTGCTGGCACAAAATGGCTGCCAGCCAAAAGACCTAGGGGAAGCAATTCTTCCCCTGGGTCTTAGTGATCAACCACTCCCCTGTTCCTGCACTCATGAGGTTTTTATTGGGGGGGCATGCACTTACATCCTTGGAGTCTTTTTGCTCAAGAACTTTGGTCTCTTCTCTCCCCCCTCCCCCCCCAGCAGAATTTCCCTGACTTTTGGGGGGGGTGTTCGGTATTTGTTTCAACCATCTGGCAACCCTAGTTGGGAGCAGATTAGCAACTGTGTAACCATTAAAAATTGTTGCAGCTACATAAGTTTACTAAAAACAAACAATATCTAACATGCCTAGAGGAAAGTGTGTTGAAAGGAGTCCCTCAAATAGATGTCATGGACAGGTGGAACAGAGGGAGCACCTAGTGCCTGCACTCAACTTAGCCTACAGAAATAGTGCCCAACCCCTTAATCTAATGTTCCTAAACGTCCAAATTCTGCTGAAAGCATCTTGCCATGGTTTCTGAATCTATCACACCTCAGATTCTATACAAATCTAATATCCAATGTATATAAAATCCTGTACAGATGAATAATGTGAATAGACAATGCTCTGAAGAAACTCAAACATGCAAAAGTTCAGTATTACAGTACTACTTTTGGAACCATCAGTTAGGGATCCTTGGCAGAAAGGGAAAATTCTCCCCCCAAAGCAGGAAGCATCATCTATTCCTGACAAAGGGATGTAGCAGTTATGTTACCCAGAAGCACACAAGTAGCTATATCAGTCTACCCATGGCCAATTTTGCCAGAGGTAGAATTTCCACAATCGCCACAAATGAAAGTGACCAATACTAGTGTGCTAGTTTTAATCTACTAGTGTGGGTGTGAAGTTCAGATTGTATTCACTCTGCTTAGGTTGCATATGATTTCTACTGTCCTATAGCAATTGTGTGCCTCAATTTTCCTGGGCATTACACCAATAGCTAGGTGGTGATGGGAATTTTGCACATACAGTGACTGATGCTTTCTGTAACCTGAGCCTGGGAGGGGGAATGTGATCAGTAGACACCTTTTACCAGGGAAGCTGGACAAAGGCTGGAGGTGGGGCTGGCTGCAGGGGAGATTAACTGCTAAGAGCCTTGCTGTCTTGGGGTGCCCAGATGGGGAGAAGGGGCTCAGCCAAGGCGCTGACCCCCCCCCGCCCCCAAGATGGAATGTACTTATTGCATCTAGTTCTTGTGCTAATAAGTCTGTTCTATGTTTTAGTCCACAAGGATACAGCAGTCTGTTCTACCTACTGGCAGAGAGTCACATCTGGCTGTGGATGGGGGTACAGAGCCTGGTGCCTTCCCACACTTGAGATAACAGAGGTCTCAGACCAACATCCAGATCATATATCCCAGGCCGCCAGTTAGGCTTTGCAGCTGACATGCTGTTCCAGTATGTCCTATGTTGCCACAACTTCACTGTTACACCCCAAGTAGGATAAAGCTAGAGTACCTACAGCTATCTGTGTGCTGTGGACACAGCTACAAAGGACCTGAATTAAAGTTTACAACTCCCATCTGCAAAAATGTAGGCTAAGTACTTTTGAAATTTTCACTCTACATTTAGGGTATGTCTTGCTGCAGGGAGTCAGCCTAAGCTTAGCCATATGTTGCTCCTACTGGGGATGTAAAATCCTAGTTAATCAGTTAATTGATTAAACCTAAGGTTTAACTAATTAAGCAGGATCCCACTCCCAGCCACCCCCAAGCATGAAGCTTCAGCTGTTGCTACCCACCCTTTGTGGGCTAGCAGCAGGGGTCAGCAACTGCATGTGTTATGAGGGTCAGCTTCTGCTCCTGGGCCTTTGTGCAGGGCAGCTGATTCCCAACCGATATGGTGCTGAAGCAGCCCTCCACCCATAGCAGGCTGTAAGTGGGGAGCTGTTCCTGAGCACTGGTTAACCATTACCCAGTAAGCATCACTTGTTAAAGATGATGCTTACTAGCTACCTATTTGCATCCCTAACAGAAAGTACCATCATGACCTGGGGAAGGCAACAGCAGCAAGACTAGCACAAGTACCATAATTTAGTGTATATAACCCGTGGGTTATATTTGTTTTTACAAACCCCACACTCCCCATGGGGTATACAGATTTTTTTTTTAACCACACTCACCAGGTGAGTGAGCTCTCCCTCACCTCTTCCTGTGGCTGCGCAGCCATCAGCTTCTAGGCAGGGGAGCACTCACTCCCCTGTTCCTGTGCAGCCACAGGAAGGGGTGGGGGAGTGCTCATCCCCATGCCCCTTCCTGTGGCTGCACAAGAACTGGATGGTGAGTGTTCCCCCACCCAGAGGCTGCAGAGAAACCTGTGGGATGAGTGCTCCCCTGCTCAGAGGCTGGCAGCTGTGCTGGAACCTGGGTGGTGAGTGATTAACTATACCCCCAGCACAGAAAAGTCTTGTATGCCCCACAGGTTATATTCTTGCATATGATATACAAGATTTTTTTTTTTTACACACACACACACACACACACACACACACACACACACACACACACACACACACACACACACAGAAATAACCATGGGGTATATTCGGGTGCGGGGTATATGCACTGAATTACGGTATGGCTTGCAGCCTCAATGCTGACACCTGGACTGGTCTTCACTGATCCTAAATAACCAGCACCCAGGATAACCAGGCTCCTAGGTTACACAGATGCATCTACATTAGGAATTTGAACTCAAGCTTGTTCAATAACTGCTTTAAGTCAGTTCCCTTGTAATCATAAAGGGCATTACAGGATTAATCAGGGGATTAACACATCTGAGACCTACAATACTTCAATTAGGTTGAGTTGTACAGCTACAAGTTTTCCAACATGCAAATTCAGCCAGCCATTATCCCCATCTCCAATACAGTGGGAGACGGGGAACAAAGCATATTACTCTCATTTTGAGAAATGGCTCAGCTAAGTCAGTCATTGAGATGCTGTGAGTGCCAAGCGCTTCAGATCATGTTTCGCAGATAACTAAAATAGGGGTGTCATTCCCATTTTAAGCCACAAAAAAGCACACTAAATGAAGCCAATTACTCTGGGGCAAAGGCAGAGATGGACTAGAAAGGTGTCCCCAGTCTAGCCATTAGACTGCATTCCTCATCCAATCTAGGAGTCAGAACTCCAACATCAGCTCCTATTTAATTTCTATTAAAATTATACCCCACATGCAGGAGCAAGGGAGTTGTTACTCTGAAGATCTCTAAATAAAATAGCAGACCCAATAATAAAACCACTTCTCCCTACCTGAAGTCAAATGCCCTTGTCACTGACTAGACCATGCTGCTCTACCTCAATAGCTTTAAAGCACTGAAAGGCCAACAGGCATAAGTGCATCCAGGGGGTGCCATGCTAAGATGGACTGACTTGTCCATTCCTGAACCACTGTATTAGCACATCAGATAACTGTGAAGCTGCCAAAGTTTAAGTCTCAGCTCCTCAAATCAACTTCAAGTTTCATCTTTGGACAGACTTTCCAAGTGAGGGATCATCTCTGACTATTCTCTTCTGAACTCAAAAAAGCTGAGAATATTCACCACTCCCAAGATATAGCTCCCAGAAAGCTAGACCAGTACTGGAGTATTGGCCACCAGTGCAATATAATTTGCCGCTATACCAATCATTGCTATACTAGATGTTTGACCCTGGTGTCAACTCAAACCTGGCTCTAAAGAGAAGGAAGGCTAAATGGAGGACTCAGTTGGTCTAACTATTTAGCCAAATTAAAACAAATCCTAATTCCTTTGCTCAGTGTAGTAACCTTCTCTCTCTAAGAGGTCAAAAAGCAGCAAGCAAAGAGTCAGTTTTGGCTCAAGCTAGTATCAAAACAGACTATTTGGTACCCCCAGCATCCTGCTTCAAGGCTCCATGGTCCCACTGGTCTGTCAGATCCCATCTGGGAATCCTTATGTAATAGAAGCAGTGGAGTGCCTTTAAAGTAAGCCATTACCTCTGCTTATGCGTTGCTTCTCTCCTGAGAGGATACCAGGTGTGTCAATGATACTGATGCTGTCCAGGACAGGATTGGGTAGCTGAGCACACATGAACCTACATGAGAAGAGATACTCAAATTAGACAGGCTAGGCACTTTCCTTCCATGGTATGCAAGAAGATTAGAGTCCAAAAAGAGAACTATGTTGTCAGGCTGCAGGCTGGGTTCAATTGCCTATTCTGCCAGATGCTCTTTGTGAACTGGGACACGTCTCTTTGCTCACCCCACAGGGAGCTTTAAGGTAGTGTCTGCTATCTGTAAGATAGGGAAATTATCTCACAGGTATGAGGGGCATAAATCAAGCCTCAGGTATAGGGAGAGGAAGGGTGCTAAGAGACAGCAGGCTTTTAAGAGAAGGGACTGTCATTAGCACTAGTAGAAAATATTTACAAATAATTTAACCTTTGACTCAGTTTTTTTAACCTTAAGGAAGTGAACCTCTTGCACTTCCTTCTGTGAAAGAATTGAGTCTTTAGCAGCTTGGCAGAATTACTAGCATTAGTGTCCAATTTTAAGCTACCAAATGGTCAGTTTTCTATAAATCAGATGTGACTCTAGGTTTATGTACAGAGCAACAGATCAGCTCAGCCTTATATGCTTAGTCACCATGCAAGTTTGTAAAGATAAGGACAAGGGAGTCATACTGTAGCAGTGCTGTTTAGAGAGACACTTTGGTTATCTATGTCTAAGTCAGCTAGACTTGCTCTTCTGTTGGTCTAAATGAGTTTCAAGAGGCTCTGATTTAGACCAGCTCAACATCTGTCACCTAAGAGAACTAGTTTAATTACAAGTATTAAGCCAATGATTCTCAGCATGATCCATGAACCACTAGTGGTCCATGACAGCCTTAAAGGTGGTTTGCAGGATCAGGGCTCAACCACTGCCCCCTGGTGCTGGTGCTCTAGCCCCAGGCCCCCATTATGAGGGGGGGAAATACCAATGCCAGCTTCTCACTGCAAGGGGGTAAGCCTCATAGGCCAGATCTGGCTTGTGGCTCTGTGTGCTGCTGCTCCTTCTACCCCCTCACTGGGTGGAACAGTGCAGGAAGTCACTTGCCTGGAGGCTTTCCTCACTGCTCCCATTGGCCAGAATCACAAACAGTAGGAGCAGCAGGGATGATCCCTGGGAGTGGCAGGAAACATGGAGCCAGGTAAGTGTTCCCCCCTCCCCCGCATGTTGCCCTCATGGGCAGACAAGGGATGTAACCATATACTCAATTAACCAATAAGCAAAAGCTTATTGGTTAATGTGCATGGAAGCAGGATGGCCAGCAGCCTGGATCAGTCCTGGCATGCACCAGGTCCAGGACCTCCCCCTGCTGCAGCTCTGCATTTTAAGTGCACTGGGAGCAAGGTGGGCAGGCAGCCTAGCTCAGTCCAAGCTTGTGTTGGGTTTGAGAACTCCGACCCCCTCCTGGGCAGGGGCTGCTGCCACCCCGTGCTGCTACCTCTGTTGGGTGATAGGCAGCCAATCCACAAGGGAAGCTGGTTTTGAAACTGGCTTTCCTCATGTGCCAGCTCCTGCCTAGCACCCCACGCTGCTACCTGATACAGAGACAGCAGCACTGGGAGGCAGGGGGCTCCTCAGGAGTGGGGTTGGAGCTCACTGGCTGCTGGCCCCACCCCTGGGACTATCAAATAGTCGAGTAACTGAAGAGTCAAGCATGAATTATCGATTTACTGAATATACCATCCCTAGCCCAGACTCAGTACCTTCATGTACCCCTCTCCCACTGAGATCATGTACCTCCAGGCTGCTCCTAACCTCCCAGCCAAACCCACCGCCCCCCTGCACCCATTTGTCATTATGGGTTGTTGGCTGGTCATCTGCAGAAAAGTCTGTGTTGAGCAAGGTGGGCCACAGGCCAAGAAGTCTGAGAACCACTGCTTTGAGCTCAACAGTGAAACTGACTTTATTGTCCAAGCCATCTGAATAGTAGCAACATGTGATTAAAATGGTCACTTCTAACAAGTTATAGTAATGGAAATGTGCACAATGTTACACTGTTGCTTACATCCAAGTCATTATGACTTAACTGGAAATTAGTCAATATGGAAAGTTAGCAGCTGCAACGTGCACTGATAGTGGCAAGCTTTGATGCCAATACCACATGTTTTAATAGAAAGTGTGACAATAGACTGTGTCACCTAACCATTACACTACTCCAACAATGCTATGACCAGTAATTTCATGTTGCCAATCACTGTTTCCTAATGTTACCAGAGTTTCTCTTGAAAAGTGAGTCATCTAAAGGATAATTTGCTGGAATCTCTTTTCCACTAGGCAGATCAACTGGAAAGATCTTAGCCTGTTCTTATTTCAGAGACTGAGGCCACAGCAATTTTAGTTCCTCAGCAGCTGCTTTCTGTTGGGAGAGTTCAGCTTGCTAAGCAGCAAGGAAGAGTCCAATCCACTACAACATCACAGAGCTAACATTTCACAAAGTGGCAGGAAAGCTCTCGGCTTCTGCACAAAACTCACTGTAAGCCTTCATTCTTAGTATTTATGGTACTGAACAGTTTTAAAAGCTGGACATTTCTGCATTATCTTCCAGCCACAAAAGTGTTGGTTACTAATTGCATACAGGCACCTTTAGAATGGAGAGCACAGCACAGTAGTTAGGGGAGAAAAAACAAGGCCATGCAACTAAACCTACTACTTCTTGGAGTCCAGAGACCCTGCATTGCTCCTTGAAGAAGCTTTAGGATGAATGCAGAAAGACATATGTTAGACATCAGATCAAGAATCCACTGGTTAGGATAATGAGTGGAGACTGATACACTTTAAAATAGCAGTACATAAGATTCATTTTTAATGACACCAGACCATTGAGGAGACAACTTGGGTTAAGCATTAACAGTCTTTGCTTTCCTCCGACAGGGAGGCCAGAGAACAACATTCCAGAGACCCATTTAACCCTGGAGTTTAAATGCCCTCTAGGATTGGCATAGTAATACACAAGCTAGCTCAAACAGCTAGTAGCTACTTATCTGGAATTATGCAAAAAGCCTCATTCTGGGCACAGATGAAGCAGCCTTTAATAGGGAGGGCCCTGATCATTAGTTAAGTTCAAACTGCATGCTATGCCCACTAGTAGTATTTTCAAGTGTTTCATTCATGCCTTGCTATATCATGCCCTCATTGTCAGCAATGAAACTGTGTCAGGGCAGGAATCCATTTCTGGATGATGGATAATTCAGGGATATCCAGCTGCAAGTTCTCAACTTCCTTATAGGGGTTTTGTATTTTTACCTCTGAAAATGAAACTCCCCTTTCAAGTGCAGCAAAAGCAATATGCTCAGAAAAGTCTACTTGCATAGGCTTCAGGCAGCCATTTACTCACTAGGTTACTAAAGTTACACCTCTGTGCAAGAACAAGGAAACCCAAGAAGAATCCCATCCTGAAACAGGTATTTGTTTAGTTTGAGAGAAATTAAACTTAGCAACTCATTGGTTATGCTTTGGGGTGCCAGTCTTTAGAAGTGCAAAGATACAGCAGGCATCAGGAGACATGTCTTTTACCACCAACTGTGGGCTGGCTTAGCTAAATCACTTCAACCCTGGCTCAGTTATTCGATATGTAAAACAGGGATGTTACTCTAAAGGCTTGGAAACCTACAAATGGATTTTCAGTTAGGGCAGGTCTACACTATAGGGAAAGGTAAGCCTAAGGCATGCAATTCCACTACATAAACAGTGGAAGTCAACATACTTTAAGCCTGGCAGGTCAACTGGAGAAATGGTCCCATCAACTTCTTACTCCTTGCAAGAAGAAGTACTAGCATTGACAGGGTGCCCTCAGCATTTATTTAGCATGCCCCCAGTAGATCTTCCAATATTTGACTTAGCAGATTGACCTTGGCAGCTCCCATCTTCCTGGTAATGTAGATATGCCCTTAGCACAGCCTCTGCCTACAGCAGGCCAGGGTACCCCATAGGCAGCAGCTGCTCCATCAGCGACATGGGAACAATCCCTACTTGAGGCACCCATGGTCAGGAGCTGCTTTTGACCAGGATGCTGGAGCTATCTTTAACTGATTAGAGAATGGGATTTTACATTACAGTGCCTTCTCATAAAAACCAGAGGCTGTGCACCAGCCAGGAACCAGGGATGTAGGGCACTCTCCTGCCATGTAATAGAGCCATCTTCTTCTGTTTCCAAGAGTTCCTGAACCCCCTTCCAGCTATCAAGTACAGGGCCAGATAACTGGGCTCCCAGTTGTAGAGGGAAGCTGCCCTATTAAGATTTTTAAATGAATTATGCACCCTTTTAGAGTTACTAGCCTCTTTGGTATCAAGGAATGGAGTTTTAGAAGTTTAAGTTAACTTGCTTAATGTTACTTTATTTTTCCCCCATTACAGCTTGGGCAAATACAGAGTCAGTTAATATTTGTGGAGGGTCAGTTCCTGTGACAGTTGCTTATGGCCTGTCTCAAACCCAACACATAGCTGGAGGCACCAGGATGGTTTGTTAGGTACAGCCCAGCATTAAATGCACAATGGCAGTTCCTCAATCCTATCTAAGAGTAGAACCCCAGTGATCATGTCTTTTAGCTACTGGACGTCCAAAGTCATGCCTCCAGAGAGGGGGCACTACCTCGAAGTTAGTACAGGGACCCACATGAAGAAAGTTGACAAGAGTCTGGGGGCTGCCAGAAGAATTAGCAGGCTCCCTTGCACCCAGGCCCGCTCTTAGGGCATCCACATTAGGGTCCCACCGCTTGACGGCACTAAACTGGGGTGCCACGCGATGCCCCCCACAAACCCAGACTCCCCTATTGAAGAACGCACTGAGGCAGCGGCTGCAGGTAGGAGGGGCACCGCAAGACTCCTCGCCCCCAGCCCCTCACCTGGGGAGGGCGAGAAGATAAGGGGGCCATGCGTGGCAAAGGCAAATCCAGCCTCGCACCACTCTTCCCCCCCTCCCCCCGTGAGGAAGGCTGAGCCCCTCCCACAGCCACAGGGCGAGGAACCGCGGGACACCAGGCACGGCCCCAGCCACAGAGGGCGCCGCTCGGCCCACGCGCCGCTCACCTGTTGAGAAAAGCGTTGCCGAAGGCGTTGAGCTTGCGGAAGGGCCGGCGCGGGTCGACCACCAGGGCGTTGCCCGGGACGATGCCCTCGGTCTCGCCCCCCATGACGGCGATGAAGGAGTCGGTGGTGGGCTCGGGCCCGATGCGCATGCCCGGGAAGTCCTGCTCGATGAGGTGCCGGATGAAGGTGGTCTTGCCCGTGCTGTACTGCCCCACCAGCAGCACCATGGGCTTGTTCTCCCAGTCGGCCGGCTCCAGCGCCGGGGAGTGGAAGTCGTGGAAGCGGTAGTGCTCCTCCAGGGGCAGCAGCTTGGTGGCGTAGAGCTGCTTCAGCCCCTCCGAGACCGTGCGGAACAGCTCCGGCTCCTTGCGCCGCCGCGCGTCCTTGCTCACCCAGCTGAACATGGCTGCGGGGAGGGGGTGCGTTACAAGTGGGGACGGGGGCGCTACAGCGAGGAGTAGCTGAGCGGGCCGGCAACACCCACCTCTCAGCCGCTTGCCACGGAATGCAACGCCCCCCCTTCGCCCTAGAGCCTGTTTTTATATGAATAGGTCGTCCCTCGGCCACGCCCCCACAAAGCTGATTGGTGCCCGCCACTGCGACCGCGGCGGCCCACCTATCCTTCCCGCTACGGAGGCGGAAGTAGCTCTAAATTCTTTCGTCTCCGTCCTGAGCCTCACCTAGCCGCCATGATAGTTATGGAGGCGGAAGTAGCTCACAATACATCTCCTGCCCGCTCCTCACTAGCCACCATGACAGTTAATGAGGCAAAGGAGACTCAACCATTACCGAAATAGCCGGATCCTGTCGTGTTCAGAGCCCGCGGGGGTCCGATCAAAGCCACATTGACAACAGGGGTCGATGTCTCCACCCACTGTGCCTCACCACTACCCTGACTCCCCAATACCATTGTCACTGAATCAAAAACTCCTCACACTATCCACCAACCCCAACACTGCCCATCAAATCAATTCCCAGTAGGCTTGCCAGATGGTTTCACAAAAAATACCGAACCCCACCCTCCTTTCCAAAAAAACTGCAGGGAAAAAATTCTGTTTAAAAAAAAAAGCCACGTGAAAGGTTATTGAGGGGGAAAAAAAACGGGACCAGGAATTTTACTAGACAGAAGGCACAAATACCGGGCTGTCCAGTTCAATACCGGACACCAAAAAACCCTAATTCCCAGCCCAACACTGCTTACAGAAATGAGGGTTGCCAGCCTCCCAGGATTGTCCTGGAATCAAAAATTAATTATGTTGTGTATGAAAACCTTCAGGAATGTGTCCAGTCAAAACTGGCAACCCTATACCAAAATCAATGTGCCAACCTCACATGCCGATGCTGCCCCTCTAAATCAACCCCCCAGCACTGCCCACCAAAATCAAACTTGGGGCAGCAAGTATTGTAGGCAGGGGGAGGCTGAGCCTTCCAAAACAGCCTGGTGTGCCCTGCCCATGCTTCACTCCCAGCCTTCTTGCTCTTCTAGCAGATCAGGTGGGATGGTGTGGGGGTCAAACAACCTGCTGCACGGATTTGGCCAGTCTTGGGCTGGTGCCCTTCTTGGCACAGCAGTGGAGGTGCTGCAGTGGCACCTCGTTCTCCAGAGTCAGGGGCTCTACAACTACAGCACCCACCCCATCCCGCACTCTGGCCCTGGGGTTAGGGGCTCTGTGGCTGTGGGGCCTGCCCCATGCTGTGGGACTGGAGTCTGGAGCTCTGCAGAGCCCACTCCGTGCTCTGGGAATGGTTGGGGGTGCTGCAGACTCCACGCTCCTTGCCTGCCACATGTTCTGTGCTCCTTGCTTGCTACATGCTCTTGGATGAGGAGGGGATGCTGACCTGGGGAGAGGAAAGCCAGCAGCAGCGGAGGACTCTTGCCTCCAGCAGGGGACAGAAGTGGGGGGGAGCTGGCGGATAGGGAGGAGTCTAGCCTCCCCTAACTGCCAGTCTACTCACCACCACCTATGCAAACACCTGACACTGACCACCAAAATCAACTCCCAAAGTCTATGATGTTGCCCAAAAGAGCCAACCCCAAACCCAAATCAACTGACACTGTCCACTGAAATCAACTTGCCTACTCCAATGCCCACCAAAATCAACCCCCAACTCTGGAACACAGCCCACCAAAATCAATCTCTAATCCTGTGACACAACCCACTGAAATTAACCTCCCAACACTAATCACCAAAATCAACTCCCCAATCCTGCCACTGAAATCAAATCCCAACTCTTAACAGTGTCCACTGAAACGACCCATCAGCCTCCTGACTCTATCTCTGTAAGCCCTCTCCACAAGCACCCTCAATACCATTCCCCCAACATTGGCCTCCCAGCCCCTGTCATTCAAATCCACCCAACATACCCCCAAATCCTCCAGAAACCATCCTTCCCAATCCCAGACACTGTCCCCTGACCTTTTGACGCTATTCCTCTCAGTCACCCTCTGATTCTGCTGGATGCTGCTGCCCCAAATCATCCCCTAAACCACCTGACATCCTCCCATCAAATCCCCTGACATCATCATCTTCTTGACCAGCTAAGCTATCTGGCTATTTGATCCATGGGTCTGATCTCGGGCTGCTGGGAAAAGTGATGGTGGAATACTGGGTAAGCTTACCCCAGTGGGGTGAACTTAGGTGACAAGAAAGAGGGATATCAGACTACATGGGCCTATTGGTTTGATACAGTTTGGTGGGAAGGGAATAATACTGTACTGATCTTGTGGTGTTTCTAAGAAACAGGGAAGAGACGATGAGTGGAGAGAAAGATTAGAGACTCTTAGGTTCCTATTCTAGCTTTTGAGGAGTTTCCCTGCCTGGGAGTGATTCGCGCCCTCCCCCCAGACACTACCATGTTTCCTCCTGGAGAATCCATGCTGGATTTCCATCCATCCATTTTCCTCTTTATCACTGCCTCTGTCTATAGCTCCCTTAAATATATATACACACACACAGTGAGATGGCCTGACCCTCACCGGAGCTGCCCTCCTCCATTTCAGCCCCTTTGGCCACTCCTTTCACCTCCCTCTGCATCATTTAACAGCTCAGCTAGAACCCTGCTTTGTCAATGGATTCTAGCATCACAGATGAAGTCAGCAAAGTTCTGGAATGAATCACTGTTACGTAAAGGCTTGCTGCTATGCCCCATCACCCAGCTCCTTTCAGCTCCTTCTCCCGGGCAATTCTGCTCATGATGGCAGGTATCAATGGCAGCCTGGTTAAAGCCACTGGCCATGTGAACTACCTTTCTTTCAGGAAAAATGGAAAGAGCAATCAAGTCCTTTTATGGAGCAGGAGAGCTGGAGACAACAGAAACCACCCAAGGCAATCAGCTGTATGGCAAAACTTGAGATTGGTTGACCCATGTTGGGTGTGAGGTTTCCCTGAGACTGACTGCAAATGCAGGGGCTGGGAGGTTGCTTAGCAAGCTGAGCCTGTGATCAGGAGAGAAAGGCAGCCAGCACACAGCAGGAGCATCAGAGAGACAGAGCTCCTAGGGCTGGCTGGAGAGGCAGGCCTGGAAACTGAGAGAAGGAACACGGCTGGTTGTTTGTTCCTGCTGTGATCAGGGACACAGGACTATATGGACATTCTTTGCAAATAAACAAGATTTCACCAGAGAATACTCCTTAACTTACTCCTTAACCCCCTTCACATACTCCTCCTCTCAGAAACAGCCTGGCAAGACCCACATGTTGGCCAACTCCTTATTCCAAAGGGGCAGCAGGTCAAGTAGGGTGTGATCAAGTGCCCACTGAAGCCACTGAAGAGAGTCCCATTAAGTTGCTGGGAATCGTCAGTCAACATGTGTTGACCAAACCTTTAGTTCATCTTTTGAGGACCGCTTACATAGTTACTCCACACAAGCATTTAACTTCATAAATGGCACTCGCACAAAAATGAGGAAGCTAATTAATGGAAATTAAAAGGTATAGTCACAAAAGTGAAATGCCTGCAAGCTTCATGGAAACTTTTTAAAAACACCATAATGGAGGCTGAAATTGAATGTATAATCCAGATTTAAAAGCATAGTACGAGGACCAAAAAATGCCACTGTGGCTAAACAACAAGGCATCCTTAAAAATTGGAAGTTAAGGCCTACTGAGGAATATAGAAAGAAGCATACATTCTGGCAAGTCAAATATAAGTATAATTACGTAGGCCAACAAAGAATTTGAAGATGAACTAGCAAACGACTGGAAAACTGACATCACAAGCAGGATGCCTGCCAAACATTCAGTGGGGCCACTGGATGATCATTGTGCCAAAGGAGCACTGAAGGAAGATAAGGCTATTGTGGAAGAGCTAAATGAATTCTTTGCATCAATCTTCATTGCAGAGGATTCAAGGGAGATTTCCACACCTGAGCCTTTCTTTTTAGATGGCAAATCTGAGAAATGGTTCCAGATTGATGTGTCAGTAGGGGAGGAGTTGGAACAAATTGACAAATTAAACAGTAATGAAACCAGGACCAGATGGTATTTACCCAACAGTTCAAATTTGAAACTGTAGTAGCCTATCACTTACATGGGAAACTGAGAGTAGCTAATGTGCCACCAATTTTTAAAAAGAATTTTAACAAGCTCCAGAGGCAATACTGGCAATTACAGTAAGCCTAATGTCAGTACCAGGCAAACTAGTTGAACCATAGTAAAGAACAGAATTATCAGACACACAGATGAACATGATTTGTTTGTTGGGGAACAGTCCACATGGCTTTTGTTTAGGGTAGTCGTGCTGCGCCAATCTATTAGCAAGCTTTGAGAGGTCAACATGTGGACAAGGCAAGGTGGACAATGCAGATAGTGTATTCAGACTTTCCGAAAACTTTTAACAAGGTCCCTCACCAAAGGCTTTTAAGCAAAGTAAGCTGTCATGGGGTAAAAGAGGAGGCCTTTCATGGATCAATAACTAGTTTATGGGTATGTCTACACTACCCCGCTAGTTCGAACTAGCGGGGTAATGTATCATACCGAACTTGCTAATGAAGCCCGGGATGTGAATTTCCGGGGCTTCATTAGCATAAAGCCGGCGCCGCCATTTTTAAAAGCCGGCTAGTGCGACCCCCGTGCCGCGCGGCTACACGCGGCACGGGCTAGATAGTTCGAACTACGTAGCCATTCCGAACTATCTGTCCTCCTCGTTCCACGTGGAACGAGGAGGACAGATAGTTCGGAATGGCTACGTAGTTCGAACTATCTAGCCCGTGCCGTGTGTAGCCGCGCGGCGCGGGGTTCGCACTAGCCGGCTTTTAAAAATGGCGGCGCCGGCTTTATGCTAATGAAGCCCGGGAAATTCACATCCCGGGCTTCATTAGCAAGTTCGGTATGCATACATTACCCCGCTAGTTCGAACTAGCGGGGTAATGTATCATACCGAACTTGCTAATGAAGCCCGGGATGTGAATTTCCCGGGCTTCATTAGCAAGTTCGGTATGCATACATTACCCCGCTAGTTCGAACTAGCGGGGTAGTGTAGACATACCCTAAGATAGGAAACAAAGGTTAGGAAATGGTCACTTTTCAAAATGGAGAGCAGTAAACAGTTATGTCGCCTAAGGATCTGTATTAGGACCTGTGCTATTCATAGTGCTCTGGAAATGGGGTAAACAGTGAGGCAACAAAACTGGGCAACACGTTGGCAGATTAACTTCACATTGGAGAACATAATCCCAACTATACATACACAATGACGGGATGGAAATGAGCTGTTACCACTAGGAAATAGAACTCGGAGTCACTATGGACAGTTCTCTGAAAAGATCTGTTCAATGCATAGCAGTCAAAAAAGCAAAAAGAATGTGAGGAACTATATAAAGCAGAGAATATCATAACGTCACTAAATAAATGCATGGTATGGCCACACCTGGAATACCGTTCTGATTGTCCCATCCCTAAAAAGATATATTAGAATTGGAAAAGGTACACAGAAGGGCAACAAAAATGAATAGGGGAATAAGGGATGGAGCAGCTTCAGGATAAGGAGAGATTAATGAGTGGGAATTTTCAGCTTGGAAAAGAGATGACTAAGGGAAAATATGATATAAGTCTATAAAATGTCTCTGACTGCCAGAAGCTGGGACTGGATGACATGGGATGGATCACTCTGCAATTGTCCTGTTCATTCTCTCTGAAGCATCTGGTACTGGCACTATCCAAAAGGATATTGGACTAGATGGGCCATCGGTCTGACCCCATATGGCCATTCTCATGTACTTGCATAGCCATGTGACTGCAGTATCTAACAATCTTGACACTGTGGCTACGTCTAGACTGCAAGCCTCTTTCAAAAACGAGCGTCTAGACTACAATCAGTACTGTCAAAAAAGCAGCCACCGTGGATGAGGTGGGACCCAGAGCTCTGAGCTGCCAGGGGCACTGGGGACACACCAGAGCAATCATCTGCAGTGGCAGTAGGTGCTGAACCCTCCCACAATAGATTGTGGGGTTTCAAACCCCCACCAGTCCCATTCTGTCAAGAGCATTCTTAGTAAAGTAAGGGGTAGGCCATAGGCTTCCATGAATTTTTGTCTATTGCCTGGGACCTTTCCCTGACTTTCTAAAAACTACGGGGCTGCATCCCTTGCTCACTGCGCTCACCAACCGCCCTCTCATGGGCTGCTTTCACAGCCAGAGAGCCTGTCAATCTTGCACTGAGCCCAGCTGCACTCTCCATGGCCCCAAGTCACTCACACCTGTCTCTGCTCCCACTCCACCACACTCCTGGACAGGCCCCTATATCTGAATGCTCTCAGACATCCCACTGGCTCGTGCCCTTCAATTGCCAGCCATTCCCCGCCCCACCCTCCACAACCTTCCTATTCCTGCCCCACCCACCAATAAAATATTCGCATGCAGAATTCGGAGCCTCTCCTGGCGGCTAGCATGGGTCTATGCAAAAGTGACCTGTCAGGAAGTGTTGTGCTCTGTGGGCTCGTGGGCCTCACATGTAAATGAAAACCAAACGCAATTAGTAAAATGGGGCCCAACTCCAAACAAATCCCTTTCGTTCCAGGTGCTCCTGGACACCTGGCTCACTAGCGATGGGCAGGGGCTGGGTTACATGCAAGCAGCCAGATAGAGAGGGAATTACCCATTTTCCGCATCCTGTTACTGCCCGTCTTTGCAGGACGGCAGCGCTCCAGATGTGTAGTGCTCCATGGCTCCCCCATGGTTCCATGTCTCTCCATTGCGCCCTTTCTGCATGGAGCATGTACCAGCCCCGCAGCAGGAGCGCACGTGCCAGCAGGAAGGGCACAATGAAGAGACATGGAACCATGGGGAAGCCCCCATCGTTACATGCCTGCAATCTACTGAGAACCAGGTCACAGGGGAAGAGAGCCTGGTGGGGTAATCTGGGTCACCAGTCCTTATCTCAGGGTTCCCTGGCCCACTGCCCAACCCCTCCTTCCATCCCTACCCCCACCTCCATTCCTATACCCACCCATCCTTCCCTAACCCCTCCCCACCCCCACACTGCCCATCTCCCTGCCTCCATTCCTATATCCCCCTCACCCCATCCATCCCCTCTTACCCCACCACCCATCCCCACATACACCCTATTCCCCTTCCTCCCTTCCTACACACACCCTGCACTCTCCCACAAATTCACTGAGCTGCGTGCCCCTCTCCCTCAGGAGCACCATCAGGCTGGGCAGCACAGCCCTGGCCACCGCAGCAGAGCCACAGCCCGTCCCCAGCTCAGCCTTTCTGAAAGGGCCTGTTGGGGCAGCTTTGCTCCATGGCGAGCCCAGGGAGCCTGGAGTGCAGAGTGGCCGCTCCGGAGAACCAGGGAAGCAGCCGGGGTGCAGTGTAACCAAGCCATCCCCAAAGGGCCATGTGTGCGGTGTTGTCAAGACCAGCCCAGCTCATGGCAGGCCCAGGACAGCTGGCATGA